ATATTTGACAAATTGTTGAAGAACTGATATTTTAAGTCTTGTTTAATTATTGATAAGTCAAGTCTTATATATAATTAAATTAATAATTAATATTAATCTTGTTTAACAAACTGATGTTCAAGTCTTGGTATGATTATTATAAGTCAATTCATATATTTACATTTATATTAATAATTAACAAGTATGGTAAATTAATAGTTAATAATTCTGTATTTTTGAACAAAATTAACAAGTAAAAGATATTTAGAGTCTTTTTATCATTAAAATTATTTTCACTTTAGTCTTTTGGAATGAATTGAGGTTTCAGATTTTTTTTGAAACCCATTAATTAAGTAAGTCAAATTCGTTGGTTCTTAGTTAAAAGTATCCAAATCATTAATCTGGACCATCCACTCACTGATGTAAGAAAAGAATAAAGGTATCTTCCTTGCTGCTTGAATGCTGCAAGACGAAGCACCGAAATGGGCCAGTCCTCCAATTATAATTGTAATTACTTTTTGTGACATTTAATTATTATTATTTTTGGTCCTTTACCGAGAATATTCATTTCACCTGAGTTTCTTTTGACTTTTTTTTTTTAAATCTTTTTACCCTATGCATTTCAATCTTATAAAATACTCTTTTGATCCTATTTATAACTCACTTTTAATATGTTTTATCAATATCAAGAGAGATTTTAAAGCTTATTAATTCTGTCTTAAAATTTAATAAGTTCTCAACTTTTTTTTCTATTAAATATACATCTTTAATAACATATTTTCTTTCTCCAACATTTAATGAAGGGTGAACTAGAAAATTTATGATAAAATTTAATAATGTAATTTATAAATAAGATAAAAAAATCTCCTTTCTCTACTTTTATAAATAAGACCAGAGGGAGTAGGGTGCCCAAATTGGGTGCTGCTGTTATTAGTTTAATTAACTATCATGATTATGCAATAATATTGAATTATTGAACTTGAGTAAGTTCTAAGCCGCTAATACAAGTATTTTAATTGAGCTTGAGGACATCTAAATGCCACGAACAAGTTGATTTAATTGTTTAGTTAAAATGCAATGTGACTTACTAACCAAGTTATGTTTAGTGCAGGTGATTAATCTCTTATAAAGTACTAAACCAAACGTTTGATTTTTTGTTGAAAGAGTTACGCATTACATTTAGTATTTAATTATGTCTAGAACAAAATTAACTCTAAAAGGATGATACATATGAATAATAAAAAAAATAAAGTAACTTTTTGTTATATAACAACAAGATGATAGATCTCTCCTAGCAAGTATTTAATGTGATTGTTTATTTAAAACTCAAAACTTGCTATCACTCATTAAGCTAACACTTCTTCTTATCTTCTAAACACGCTCATAAGTAATTAGTACTCCTTCCTTTTTTATTTATAAACAAACTATCATTTTTAATTTTTTTATATAAATAAAATCATATTTTTTAATAAACATTTATTATAAATTTTTTAAATTAACTCTCATAATTTCATTATTCATAGTTGCGAAAAACAGTTAATGAAGGCTCGATTAATATAATTAATAAAAGACATTGTAATTTAATTTTTTTTTATTTTCATACATAATTAATATAGTTAACTAATTTTTTAACCTGTGTGATATAATTTTTTTTCTCTTACAAATAAAAACTGATGAAGTAAATAATAATACAATGTGACTTTTAAAAAAAGCAATTTTAAAATTGAGAATTCATGAATTGTATGAAGTTTAGCATTAATAATATAAGAAAGAGATGGAAGATTTATATTCTCCCTAATTTTTATTATAAAATACTTTCAATCATTTTACTCATATTAAAAAATTAATTTTTTGTTGATATCATAATAAATGAGATGTACTTTCAATTTTATTTTATTTTATATTTTAAATAATAATAAAATTATATTAAATACTTTCATACTAATAAAGAAATTAAATGATAAAATTAAAACAAGTGACTTGATTGTTATAAGTTGTTATATATTTTAGATTAAAAATACTTTCAGAATTTATCTTACAAATAAAACCGAACCTGAGGAGGAGTATGTTATAAAAAATAATAAAATGAGCAAAAATATTTAGAGAAAATTTAACGAAACTCATTAATATTATTTTTTAAAATAATTTAATCTCCACTTTTCAGATATAAAGTGAATTCAGACATAAAGCGAACTAAAAAAATCATATTGGAGTGAGAGAGAGGAAAAGGGTGGTCCATCCAACTCGAGACGGAGGACCGCTTCACTGGTGCACGCTTACGCAAGATTTGCATATCCCTTTGTTCACTGTGGTCCATTTGTCTGTTTTAACCCCCTTTCCTTTTTCCTTTTTTTTTTAATTCTATAGAAATATAACTTTATTTTGAAAACATTTCCTAATTGGATCTCATTTTCTGAACGAGGGGAAAAAAAAATGTAACTTCATTTTACAAGATGAAAATAATACCTTGTGTTACATTAATCTCTTCTCGTACAAGATGAAGCCTATACAACCCATTCACCAAAAATACCCTAATCCTTTCATTAAATAACTACAACTGTAATTTTGTGGTATTAAAAAATAATACTCTTTTTATTTGAAGTTATAAAGATGCTTTTAGAGAAAATTATACTTCCTCTATTTAAAAATATAAAATATTTTTAATTAAATCTTATCCCTAATAAAGTAGTTACTTGCTTTTAAATTAATATTATCTTTTCATATTTACCTTTAAGAATGTTTTAGTCTAAAATTAATATAAAGTAATTTATTTATTAAAGGTACTTAAAAAGATAAAAATTACACATTAAAATATTAAAAATATCTTATATTTTTTTAATAGAGGGAATATATATCAATAAAATTTATTAAATAAACTTTACAACTTTATTTTTTCAAAAACAAAAATACTCCCTTCATTTCTATGTATAAAGTTTTCTCTTGAAGTTTATCTTGTCCTTACATATAAGGGGTGTCATAATAATTTTGAGTAATTGGACAATATCAAAAATGTCCTTCCTATAACACTCTATTTATGAAGAAATATTGAAGAGGGATAATATAATGAAAAATATAATATTAAAAAAATATATTAATATAATATTATTTTTATCAAAGTGTTTTATATTTTAAAACGTATAATTTTTCTCAAAAGTATTTATAATTAGAGACAAAGGGAGTGCTTAAGATTTTTTTTTTTCAAATAAATCATATTAACATAAATTCAAGATTTGAGTTGGTTATAGTAATTATTAAAAGTAAATCACTCATTCTTTTTTCAAAAAAAATACCATAAATCAAACCAAGTGATAAAGAGATACTCTCTCTGTTCTAAATTATGAGACACTTATAAAAGAATTTTATTATCCTAAAATATAAGACACTTTGAATAGATTAAGATTTCATTAAATATATCAATTTTAATATTATCCTTTCTCTCTTTATAATTAATTTATGTCCCTCTCTTTTTAATATATTAAATGATGGGTATTTTTAAAAGTTTATATTTTTATTTTGAAAAAAAGATTAAGTGTACTTAATGAGATTTGTTAGTATTTAAAATTTATCTAAAAGTATTTATAATTTAAAACGAAATGAATACTTCCTATTATCAGCCTCCAACTATCTCTTGTTGGAATTAATGATAAATAGTTAATTTATTAATTTTGTCTACAAATAATATAAAGTTACAATTTTGTTTTTATTTAAATAATTTTTTTAAATGGACATTATAGTCTATCTCATAGCTAATGAATTTAAATAAAAAATTTTAAAAAATATAATTAATAGCGCATAATATATTTCTAAAACGTGCGATCAGAGTGAATCTTCAACAAGATTGGGCGTCATATTTCACAAAGTGATTCCTTTACCCTTTTCTTTTTAAAAAATAATAATCCATAACCAAGCCTAAAAAGTAAAACCCAGTGCAATTAAAATTCTATTCATGTAAACATGTGAGTTTAAATCTTAATGTTACTAACTTATTATTTTTACAAGGATCTTAGTTGTATTTTGTAAGGATCTATATATAACTACCTTTTCAACCATAAAACTTGGATTGATCTCATTTAAACTTTTAATTTTCTAAAAATTTCTTTTTTTTATTAAATCACTTTTGATTTTTTTTTAGAATAAGAGTAAAGGCAGCCAAAAAACAAAAACAGAATCACTGTCATGTTATTCATGTCCTATCATTTATATGCCTTCATAATTTCTTTTACCCAAAAAAAAAAAAAAGACAATGGCCCCAAAAACCGACACGCAGTTCGAGTCAGGAAGGCAGAAGCAATATAAACGTAGGGATTCGGAGAAGATACGGATGGAATTTGAAATTTAGAGTTACAGTAGGTCCTAGATTATAAATGTCAAAAAATTAAGGTTTTTCCTGCAATTGTCCCGAATATATTTTTCACGTCGTGTTGTTACTTCATGCGAAACGCTACCTTTCGTCCCCCAAACTTAACATCTATGGAAATTAATAACTAATCAATGAATGTTGTCAAAGTAGTTGCTACTTGGTAGCACGTCCACTCGAATTTCCATAGCTTAATTTAAAAAGCAGTAACCAAATATTATTATCTCTATCCCATTTTATAAAGTATTTTTAGAGATAATTTGGTTATTTATGTGTCCTAAAATATGAAACATTTTAAAAAATGAAGTTTTGTTAATTATGATTATTCTAATATTATTTTACTCTCTAAATAAATTTCTTTCTCACTTTCTCTAATTAATGAAGGGTTTTTTTTAAATATTTAAAATTATAAACTGTAAACTGTACTTAATGACTTTTATTGGTTTGCATATTTTATCAAAAAAATGTTTTATAAATTGATACGGTATCACGATATAATTAATTCTAAAAAATATATGTTATTCACCAAAACTTGATCCCAAAAAAGAAAATTATTTTTTAAACAAAAAAAAACCCCCCCTCGGATTCACTCGCATAGAAGCAGATTATACTATCCTCACAAAGAAAAAGAGTGAAAAATATTTGAAGTTTGTGCAATAATTGATAGAGAAGATGGGAGAAAACAAACTAAAAAGAGAAAATAAGAATTTTACTGGTATCTCTTACTTAATTCACATGTTAAAGAGAATCCAGAATCCAAATTAAACTAATAAGAGTCCCATAGAAATGGCTCTTCGAGCCGGAAACCTGAGTCTCTGTAATCGTTCCCGGCTAGGAGCCACAGCGAAGAGTAATGAAACTCGTCAACGCCGTCATTTAAGATATCAGGGAGGTCGAAGAACGTGTCGTCGTCGTCGTCCGTCAACGGTGAATTTGACAGCGCTTGAGCGTCGGCTTGCGTCACCCGGGACTCGGCTTCGGCTTCGGCTTCCTGACGATTAACTTGATAATCGATAGCGGCTGCCTTGGCGGCGGCGGCTTGGACGTCCTTTGGGGAGTTACTGGCCGGACGAGGATAAACGGCGGCAAGCTCCGGGAAATTGAGGAAAGCGGAGTTGCTTTTGACGGAGAGAGCTGCGACGTCGTGAGCTCGAGCCGCCATCTCTGCAGTAGGGAAAGTGCCGAGCCAGATTCTGGATTTCTTCCTTGGCTCTCTGATTTCTGAAACCCATTTTCCCCATTGACGCATTCGTACACCTCTGTATGTAGGATGCTTCCCATCCACCATCTCTGTGTTGTTGTCACCGGTCGTCGTCGTCTTCTTCTTCTTGGATGACTTTGGAATCTTCTCTTCTTCTCTGTGGTGTACATGAATGGCGGGTTCTGTGGCGGCGGAGGAGGAGGAAGAAGGAGGAGAGGCTGGTTGAAGGAGAGGCTCGGGTTGGTGTTGATGAACTTCCATGGATGAGTTTGAGAGGAAGAAGGGAAATGAAGAAGGAAAGGAAGAGACTGGTGAGAAAGAATTGAATAGTAGTTTTGGTTGAGCTGTGAGCAGCTACTTATTATTCTTTTGCTTTCTTCTCTCGCTAAATTCTAAAACAATTAATGGCTTCATACTCTAAAAACCATATATAACACATGTCATTTTTCTTGCTTACTTTCTTATCAGGCAAAATAAAAATGATCAATGATCCAAAAAAAAAATATATCAATTAAGAACTAATTATTATTAAAATTTAAATTAAAAAAAACTTAAATAAACTGTTATTAATTTAGATTGAGTTATTGTTGAAATGTGAATAAATACTTATCGATAAAAGACTAACTTAAACCAACAAGTATCCATTCTGATTTTGATAATAAGTAATCCTTGATTAATATAAAATTTTTTAATAATTCTTCATTAATATTTTTCCTTTTGTTATTACCGAAATTTTATTTATTTTATATTAATTTTAATGCTTGAAATTTTTTTCGTTAATAATTGACAATTACTGTTCTGCTATATTTTGTTTTTAATTTCATTCTACTATCCTAAAAAACTTATGGAGATATTATCATTATTCGTTGACAATTGCTTATATCAAAATTCAGGATTAAAATGTGAGTCCTTAAAATAAACTAATTCAACTCCATCGAGCATTGTTCGTTAGTTCAAAATATGTCAACTAGATTGGAAATTTTGTTTATATTTTATTTTAAAATGCTTTATGTTAATTAAACAATGACAATAGTTGCTGTCAATTTTATACAAGAGAATAGTTGGCCCTTGGTTTTAGTTAAATAGAAACAAGTCTTGACTCTAGTACTCCATGAAATTATTTTTTAATAATTATTTGAGTTTTATAAAAAATTATTAAAAAGGATTGAATGACAAATTTGCTCTTAAATTATAGATTTAAGAGCATCTGACTTTCTAAACTTGTTTTTAATGTAATGTCTTTTTTTTAGTTTTTGAAAATCGTGCAATATTATTTTTATTAACAAATATTAACTTTAATTATTAGTTAATTAAAAAATGATCAAAAACACCTTAAAAATAATTTTTGGATCTTTATTTATAATTTTTGTATCAATTTTTTTATAATTTTTTTGTTCCTTCCTATAATTTACTAATTATTGAGGTCCTTTTCTAAATTTTTTGGTCAACTAATATCAAGTTAACTTTTTTAATGGTAGAGCTAGTATTACACTATTTTTAAAAATTAAAAAATATTATACAAAAAATAAATTTAAAGCCAAAAGCTCTTGCACTCATAGTTTAAGAATAAAATTGCTTTTAATCCTTTAAAAAATTTAAAAAAATTACTAAATAAATAATAAATGGTGGGAAAACATAATATATACTTTTTATTAGGATAAATTGGCTTACTAGCTAAAAAAAAAAAATCTTATACACAAAAAGTATAGATCAAATTTTAAAAAATTTGAAAGTATGATTGATTCATATTAATATACAAGTAGTTATCATGTTGAACAATAGATCTTATATAAATAAGTTTATAATACACACACAATATCTATATTTATATGTACCTATTTATAAAATTTATAAGAGCAAAGGTCCAAAGTACACAATATCATGATTTGTTGTAGTAATTTTGGCCTTAAAATTTAAAAAACGTTGCGATTTCGCCCACACCGTTAAAAAAAGGCAACCGAAGAGAGAGTGGAAGAACTGGCTTCCGAGTTAACGGCGTTGAAGCACAGGTTTTGACGACGGAAACTACGCACCTCGTTCGTCCTCGTCTTCTATTGTTCTGCTTGCCAACGTCCTGAGATTCTCAGTTCCAGAATCGTATTAATGTCAGATACAAAGAAACACACTTTAATCCCACAAACCAAAAAAACACGGTCATATCTCCGTTTGAAAACCGATTTTTTGGAAAGCCTCTGAGTTCGTTTAAATTTGAGTTGGATGTAATAGATTATAAAAATAATTGATTAAGTGATAGATATTAATTATAATTAATTACGTTATAACGTAATGTGTTTGGATATTATTTTTTTAAAATTAATTTTAATAGAATTGAAGATGTTTGAATAATTTAATCAGAATTAATTTTTAGTTATATAAATTATTATATAATTTAATGTTTAAATATCAAATATTAATTTTTTGAATATGCAAAGTTCAAATTTTATTAAGAAAAAAAAAGAAAAAGAAGAGAATTTGATTTTATCTTTATTAAATTATATGTTTTTTTTATAATTTTTGCTTGGGCCTGTCTTTATAATTTTTCTCAATATTTTGGACAAGGTTTTGCCAGAAGCTCCAATTCTCAGCTTCCAGAAATAATTGATTTTTGGCCTGCAAATCGATTCTTTACAAAAGTGAGTGTTTGGATAATTTTGTAGAGAATTGATTTTTTGGACCAAAAATTGATTATATTTGTTATCCAAACACACTGTCAGCAGTTCGCAATGCCCATAAATGTGGTTCGACGCAAAGCGCGCGCGCGCGCGCGTACACAAGGGGGGAGAGAGAGAGATGAAGAAGAATAGTTGAGTCCCAGTTAGCAACTCAATTTCGGTAAGAGTAAATCCAGTCAGCAGTGCATTTCTCACTTTCAACGTTGAGATATTTACTGTAAGAGGAAAATATGTAATATTTTAATTATTTTAAAAATAAAATTACTATAACAAATAATCTTTTTAAAATGAAAAAGGAATAAATATAACTAATTCAAAAAGAGTACAAAGTTTGAGTAAAAACTAAACAAATCTATCATCAATTACCTCTGTTTAGGAATGGTAGTTTTTAATCAAAAACATACAATACATATTATCAAACGAGTGACAATAGTGAGATAAAGAGTGTGCAAGACAGTTAACTTTTCTAAACATAAACTATAGATTAACAATCCACGCTCTACAAAAAATAAATTTAGTCTCATCCATGATTTGTTGAAAAGGATGATTGAAAACTTTTTTCAATATAACAGAGTCAAGACGGTAGCATAATCACTGAATAATTCAACTTTAGTGAATTCATGATACCAACAAAGTTCTAAGCCATATAACAAATAATTTAGAACACTAAAAATTCTTCAAAGAATTGTAAACGAGCAAAAAAAAAAACATAGTTGCCTAATAGATATATATATATATATATATATAATTTGCACTGACTTACCTTATAATTCATAAAATCTATGTTTTAGTTCTATTCAATATTAAATAACACATATACAATTCTTTATATTCTTACATGTACTTAATTAGTCGTTTGAATTAAAGAAGGAAAGTGCATTAATTAAATCAATTATTTATATATAAATCAAAACTCTCCTAAAAAAGAAGAATTACATACAAGTCTCACTCAAGATAATTAATTTCTTTTAAATTTATTGATAACTAAGTTTAAGAGAATAATAATCCAATCTTGAGTGAGACATTAAAATAATTTTACCAGAAAAAAAAACAGTGCACGGATATTCTTTTCTTTTCTTTTCTAGATACACAGATTCTCACTAACATAAACGGTTTATTAGCAGGAGCGATATTTAGTGGGGCAAAAAAAAAATTCAAAATTAATTAAATAGCGTCAAAATCACTAAATGTCGTTTCAATGGGGACATACAATTTTGACACGAAAAGGGGAAAAGAAAAAAGAAAAAAAGAAGAAAGAAGAAGTAAAAAAGTTGGATTGCGAAAATGAAAAAAGTTGGATTGATCTTCCCAAGTCGGTGCTCAGTTGTCTTATCCAAACTTTTAAACTTCCAATTAGTTTATCAGTCGGTAATGCATTATTTCTTGAAAAAAATATTGTGAGAAGGATTAGTTTAAAAATGAGATTAGTGCCAAGGATCAAATTCTATTGAAGAACCAAGCTGGATTTTTAATTGTTTTTACTTTGTATTGTTCTGACCAAAATACCCCTGTCTTCCAAAATGGAATTTGAACATGAAGGCCACCCTCTTTACTTAGTTTCTTTGCACAATTTGAATGAGAGAAGACCAAAGTGGTGGTAAGGGACGTTTTCAACAGATTATCAATGGCAGTATGAGGTGTAAACAACAAGCATAGAGAAAGACAATCTCATCTCTTCTCACAATTGTAATGTCCGCCTTGACATTATCAGAACAACATTCACACATCGTTGTGATAATTATGATTAAATAAAATCCTCTGAAGAAGTTACCACAACTCAAGAGTTTAAAAATAATTAGTTTAAGATATTGGGATCTCAAGAAAACCCTTTTCTAAAATATTGTTTGAGCTCAAACCATAGTTAAAAATCAATTAAGAATAAATATGGAAGCATGGAATACAAATCCCATCGAGTTAGGCTAAAATAAGCTACTTTCAAAAATTCTGGCCTGTCCGCGGCGGCACAAGCCGCGCCCACCACGGAAGATGGCACAAAGGGACGAGTCCCTCGAAGGCTCCATGCGCTGCAACGCAACAACCACGCGCCGCAGTATGCACCTACTGTCATGACAGCCCTTTGAACTTTTGGAGTGTGCCGTTTCACCATCCAACATCCAATTTGAGCGATTCAAATGTCCACATGAAGCCCTTTGAGCCCTCTAACTAATGGCATTAGGTTCACACTCAAACAATCATCCGTTTAAAAGATAAATACATGAACCCTAAATGATTTGTTTTCACCTCAAAACACACACAATGTTGTCCAACTCACAATACCAAATGCCATTAGTCCCAAAAATACCTTGACCACCTCAAATAGACCACACACAATATGACAATTCATTCATATCACACAATTAAGCAATCACGCTCAAGATGACCACCAAACCCCCATTTGGCACACTCAAAACACTTGAAATATATATATATATATATATATATATCACATGTAAGTATAACTTAGCCAAGCACACACATTTAAATTCACAACGTCCATCTTGGACCAAGATACACACACACTTATCACAAATTCATATAAGTGATATCCAAAATAATGTCATATTCCTAAGTTGGCAATATTCATTACAAAACTAAAAAGAGAAAGGAAAGAGCTATACTACAATGCTCTTCACTCTTCAATTGCCCCTTCCTTCCCTTTGCCCCTACCGAAACCCTCACCTGTAAAATA